TAAAGTCCGCTTTGGAGAAGCATTCTTTGGGAGTTCTGTAGGAGATGCATTCTTTGAGACTTCTGTAGGTGGATTGTCTTGCGGTGAAATTTGACCGTCCAACTCTGCCTCACAATCCGATCCATTCTCACTTTCCCTATTTGTGGTAAATCTGCAAGCAACTGACTTATTACATCTAAAACTAACCTGTTATTTATTGGGTTGGTAATTTTCGGTTGCAGCTTACAATTATCGCGAACAATTTAATAAAATGTCTGTGGCGACCTGTGTACGTCGACACAATTTTTAGCAGTCACCATAATAGAGTTTTATGTAAGACACACGTGACCATTTCTCTCTATTTGTGGTACATCTGCAAACACAGCTGACTTATTACATTTGAGTTTCGCCTGTTATTAATTGGGTTTGATAATTTATTCTAGTTCCTAGACAAAGTAACTTGAACGGAAATTTGCTATTGATGTGGTCGGTTGGATTGAAATTTACCAATAAGTGCTGGTAAATAGAAAAGCCTAAACTCTCCCCATTTGTCGTTGGGTCGTGATAAAACTGTAAGGAATAAAATTGATACCTTACTTATCCATATCGAAGCGGTAACGAATTGTGCTTTTTACCTATCGTGTCGCACCAGTAAATAAGAAATATGCCTAAATTACCTTACATATGTTGATAAATCATTTACCGTCTATGTCTACATCTGCTAGTGACTTCCCAGCGAAGGTGCTCACTTTTCCTTCATCAACCGCCATCAGCAATTTACTAACTTTGGTCAGTTCCACGGTGCTCTCATGTAAGCGATAAAATTCTCTGTGGACCCGTATGTCGTGGCCCAAATGTCTTGCTAACCAGTCAGATTCGGTTTCAGTCAGATCAAACACCTTTAATATAGAATAACATGCTTTAAGGTATGTGATTATAAGAATTGATGTCTAGTAGATTGACTCGGTATTTCCCACGCAATTCTGGATAAATGGACTTTGAATAAAAATCTATGCATCTTCATTTTTCGATTTCTTGTACCCCTCTGTACTCTTGTATAAAATCACAAAGTAGAATAAGTATCAGTAAAAAACAATATTGCTTGAACAAAATTAAATTATGGAGTTTGGCCATTTTTGTCTTTGGCACAGTAGTAGCCTTGTTTGCAAATTACATGGAAATCCGTCCGGTCCTTTCCAAATTATAGCGGGGTCAAGGATAAGCACACAGATAGATAGACCGACAGAGCGATGGAAATGAGTGATATGTTTTTTTCTAATATACGTCTAAAATCCAAAAGACAATATCTCATTTTAGACATTTTTCACGATTACAAAACTTTGACGGTAGCGTGGGAAATAAACCGGCGTCAACCTCCTAAGATCAAGAAAAAATTAAGATGCAGATAACGTGGGGTGTTGCAGTAATACTAAAGTCAAGTTGGTGATGGATTCCGATGCTGTGAGTTAGGTAGCGGGCATGTTATTTAAATTGGTTCCCGATTGATTGAGCTTTGTATTAGCCACTCATCTCACCATATCAAAATTTATCCTTACTTCAATAATAAAAAATCAATGTTAGGTATCTAACATGATTCAATATTTATTGCACACAGTTCATAAATACAATGGACTCTCACATGGGTGGTTAGAGAGGTGCTGTAGTTTTTGAAAATTTAAAAATCGTTTTTATAGTGTAGTATGGAAATAAAATTTGTTTGAATAGCATTCAGCTATAATGCATTATTACTAAAACTGAAAGTAAAATCTGCTCATTGTGTCCGAAAAGCAATATAATGAATTCAATCGACTTTTGCATAAAATGGTTGAGATAATGTGTGACATTTTTCTTATAACATAAATACCTGACATACGGTAGCCACATATTTTCTTAGCTTAGTAGCTGTAATCAGTTCAGGATTTCTCAAGTCAGCCAGTTTGCACATCTTCGAAAGATAATCATGCCCCCTTAAGGATTGAGTCGAATTCTTCGAGCAAGCAAATATATATGGGTTATTACCAGATATTCCACAATCTGTTCTTTTTGATATTAACCAGTCGAGCGCTACCCTAACCTCATCCGTAAGAAGAACTGGTACTTTCTTGGCCCTTTTCCCAGGAATTTCTACTACCGCTAATCGTTCGGCAAGTTTCACCTCAAATGGTGTTAGGGAATTTTTCAACTCAGTCGTGGATTGTTCACTCCATTGAGGTCTTGAGTTGTAGCTATCTATAGTTAGTCTTGCGGCTTCCCCAGATCTGCGCTTATTAAAAAGTATTATTCTTGCCAGTAAGCAATACGCTAGCATTTTCCAGCTTTCGGAATCTGAAAATGTCTGTAGGCGTTCCTTGTACATTTTGATAGAGTTACTAATGAATGTGTTAAGTTTTAACAGATCTTCAGTGATAGGTAGTAGTTGAGTTTTGTTCATCTTTCGGCTGTACAAAGTATTAAGAGCATTGGAAGATATGCGTGATGCCCATTCCTTCTCCAGAAGGTTTAAAAACACTCACAAGGCAGGTTATCTTGGTTCCTTGCCATGGTCACCATCCTTTTTGTTCTTGATAACATCATGAATAAGATGAATATACTGTAAAAGATGCAATGCTTAGCTTTAAACTGGGAGCGACACCAGTATGAAAAACATCGTGCAACCGTACGATACAAGATATAAGATACCAAAGCACATTATCATACCTAATATTTATTGCAACTCGAAAAAATCATCATTTGTCAATTAATCCCAATCTACATTCTTAACCCTGAAAATTGGCCGCCCTACTAAGTGACAGTAATGACCGTGTCGCGCTTTGATTCAAACAATAAATGGCCAGTCTAGCACTTTATACTATTGGACCAAGATTCCATGATCAAAAGATCAATACTACAGATCGATTAGCGGATTTTGTGAACTTGTGCATTAATAAATAAATCGAAGGCAGGTGAGCAGGCTGATCAACATCGGTCTGCATTATGCGTTTTACTTTGTTTAAGTTGTTGATAAAAAATGTTATCATACTTCAACTCATTTGAAAATTTAATAAAATATCACTGTATTGTATTGTGTTGAGGTGATGCCAGCCCATGTTGAAGATGCATTAGTATTAAGTCAACGTACATCAGATGGCTTCTTTTTTTGACAAAACCGTTATAATTTCGTAAAAAGGTGACATTAGAGAGCTAGCCCATTGTGAAGGTTTCGTCTTGTGGAAAATTTCGAAAATCTCATTCCCGTAAGTGCGAGCGAGATAGGCTGTATGTGGATGCGGACGCGCGAGATAGAGCGTATAGTCTGTTCCTTTGAATGGTTCTTAAAAGTGGAAAAATTGAGTATACCATCCTGTTCTTTCATCACTACAAAATACACATTCAATAATCCATTTTCCGAAATGCACATGAAAATCATTAAGTGATTCTCAAAATTTTCGTCTTCACTGAACGTTATTCTGTGTCCAAAACCAATAAACTATTGGTGTTGAAAACCATCCCTACCTGCAGACATATGATCTTTTGTATGAATCATCATTCGGGTATTACATTTTGGAAATTTGTACATGATGAAACCATCACAATGAGCTGTCTCTCTCTCCATTTGCAAGATATACAATCACTATTATTTTCCTACCACATTTGATGTGGTTAATTAATTTGTACAAATGTATCAAGATATACCTGACTACTTGGAAAATAAATAATATATAGCTCAACTTACCTGAGGTTGCCACAAATTATAATAAATCATAACACGCACAGAACTAACACGTGTTCTCTCCTATTAAATGAGAAATTAAACACAACTGCAACAGTGAAATCATTCCAAATTGTTTCAGTAAGAGGCGCTCGTGTCGCAAAATAAATGGTCTCCACAATCTTGTGTGTATGAGCACGGTTCATGAAACCGAATTGTGGCGACTTACACACTTTTCAGGTTTTTGCGCAGAATAATTGATCCAACGGTAAGAATGCTTGAGGATCACAATTGACTGGCAGGCAGACGTTCGCCAACTAGCGATTTCATTGGTTGAAATGAGCCAGTAGCGAATAATTTCATAAAATGTCTGTGGCGACGTGTGCAAGTCGCCACAATTTTCAGCAGTAGCCACAGTAGAGTTTTATGTAAGACACACGTCGCCACAAATATAGTACCGCCTACACACACACACGGATACACACACACACACACACACACACACACACATATATATACACGCATTACCGTCATTGCAGTACAGATAACATGGCGGCCAATTTCGCGATGGGACAAACCAACATCTCGATATGCAACAATTCTACCCCTGCCAAAGTCGCAAAAACTAAGAGATAACATTTTTACAAGGGTAAACAAAAAACACAGATAAAACGTTAACATTGTTGCCACAGCATGCTTTAGGCATAGTTATTATGTTGCCAAAAAAAACAAGTTGAAGAAATAATTTTTTCTGCTCCTATCACTGGGTATATATGAAAAAATGTGTTTTAGAAAGAAAACTTTGACGCCCTCCAATGGTCAAACGAAGTACTTTTACATAGGGGTGAAGCATGTCCAATTGACTTATATTGCATCTAACAGTACGTGGCATTTCTATGTCTGCGGAATATTGGGACACCCTGTATAATAGAACTAAAAAATGTTTGCAACGTTTATATTTCTCATCAACGGTAATATGTGCCTACGCAGCTGAGATGCAAAATATGCTAAACGCTCGTACGGTTGCTACATGGCGACATAAAAGATGTACGAGATATGAAATTATGATAAAACTGGCTCTGAAGAGACTTCTGGTGATAAACGGTCGGTTATTTATGTGTATGTGTGGATCCGCAGGCGTAAAATGACGATTTTTATCGAGACGGCGTGAAAAGGACACCTGGTGGAATCGCAGAAATGTATACGAGGTGAGGCAGAACTTAAGCTCATTAATCACTTGACATGATTTTTGCAGAGTAAAACGAGAATAGTCATATACCGCATTAAAGGAATGTTCTCACTATATACCAGTTAACGGTATATAGTGGACGAGACCTTATTATTGACACAACAAATCGGCACTGAAAAAACGTGGTCAATTAAACAGTTGTTCTGAAAAATTGTCATCGCCCATAATACATGTATTATATTAATATTTATTACTAAATTATTTAATTCAATTAAACTGAATTTTCAGGAGCTTGTTTAATTAAACGTAATATACTATTTGAACTAATTTGTTTGAAAATAGCAAAGAATGTTTTATTGATATATTTAATTAGTTCAGGTTTTTTGGTTTATGTAGAAAAGGTACATTTAAAAGATTATTGATTTCGCGAGGAGCTTCATATTGGAATGTATTGTTGCCGTTGTTTGTGTAGTAGCCGTGAACTGGATTAATTATGATAATCAAGTGAAATACTTGAACATAAGGCGCTCAGGACCTACAACCATTGTTAGAATATTTCTCGCTCCCAATGAAGCACTCTGAGTAAGTCAGTTTTGTCGTGACGCAATGGGAAAGAACGTTGAAATTTCATTCATACCAAACATGCGCTTAACATAGGTTTGATCTACTTTCTTATATTATATAATATATACGGAGGAACCTCCGGTTGGTTTAGACTTTGTAATATTTGAAAATATCCTAGCTTGTTTAAAGTGATGACGAAATTATTATATGTAAATGCGTTGAACGCCAGTGACTGCAATATTCTTTCATTATTGGAAGTAAAATTATAATTTTTGTACACATGATCGAGTGACCTACTTTCTGAATAAACAAAAAAATAGTTGGTAAAACTTGATCCGATACAGAATAAGTTCACAGTCTATGAAACTAAAAATGTCGAATTTTGTTAGGGTTATAAAATTCAGAAGTTTTATTTTGATTCGAAAATATCAACTATCAACATCAATTTGTCCAAATTATTTGATATGTAAGGTTTGTCAGAGCACACTAATAATATACATCATTAATTTAGTAAAATGCAATTTGATATTTCAAATTTAAAAAAAAACTCAATTTAATAGTTTATTAATTTTAAATAAATTGGAATACTCCACCTAATTTGATGGTTTAATACATGTAATTGAACGGTTGCGTTTTAGTTTAATTAAACTAGTTCCATAGATTCGAGTTAACTGTTTTTAGAAACCTGAGTTTAATTAAACTGATTAAAACCTGTTAGCTGACACTATAGTTGATTAAATTTTTTAACTGGTATAACCAAAATTTTAATTCGTTCCATTAAATTATTTCTCAGTGTGTCGGTGGGTTCCGATGGAACCGACCAAACTCTACTGAATATAATACAACCGTACGACTGAAAATATTGCTTGGTGCTTGCTTTACGTAAAACCTAGACTGATGAAAACAGTATGAAGTGTTTGCGGTTTACGATACAAGTGTAGGGGTGTAGTACGTTTTTGTGAGGATAGTTTTAGGTTTTATAGGTCTTTTGTGTGTTTTGTTTGTGTAAGCTCACAGACATACATTTTTTTTATCAACGTATGAGTCTTTCACATATGTATTTGTCCCTGTCATTATAACAACTTGTTTGTCATCGGCGTTTGATTGAGTTTACATCTTTTTGATCTATGATATAAAACACAACAGTGCCTGAAGATACAAATACAACGTCGACAGTCGAGTATTGTGTGAATGAATGAAAACAATGTCCTATCAGCCAAATATCTCGAACGGTGTGTAATTACCCACAGAGCATTTATGTTGCCCAAATGGTACAGTTAGCCAATCTGCTCACTTATTTCGTACAACATTGAGACGTAACCATCAAAAAACCGTGAAAATAGATATGGCCAATTGATTTTAGCTTTTGTATATACAGAATATTGCAAAAAAAAAAAGTGGCAATGTCTTTATGGCAGAAGAAGAGCAAAATGTTTTTTTAAGGATCTATTGCAGATATTTAATTTTGCATGAATTGCTTCTTTTGAAAAAGTTTTATCACATCATTCCTTTTGTAGAAAAGTCGGATTAGATATTTGGGTTAAAATGCGTTAAAAAATATATCAACATATATGTTACTGTAAAAAGCCCGAACTGTGGTAAATCCTAAGATTTTCCGATAAAACCTAAGATTTACTAACTCTCAATGGTAAACGTCTGAAACAGTTCTTTTATCTCGAACTTTTACCACCATTCACTAGGTAGATCTTAAGATCCATTCCAAGGGCACGGTAAATATTGAAAAAGACATTTTTTACTATCAGAACTTAGTATATTCTAGGTTTTACCAGTGATGACTGGTACATATTAGTTTTGGAAATAAAAAAATGAGTAATTCTTAATCATTTATTTAAATTATGAACCTTACATATTATGTATTTATGTGTATCATATCTTCTCACAAACATAACGCTTACGTTGGCTAATTGAATCTCACTGAATCAGTATTTTTCTTATAATTTGGTATTTACGAACAAATTGGAAAAAAAGACCATCGTAATTAATGATTAGGTATTTAATGAGAAAAATCTTATTTGTTACAACACGCAGTGCCATTGAACACGTTATGATATATCTTTATCAACTTTTACCGTGTCATTAAGCTAAGTCCTAAGATTTACCAATTAAATGGAGGTAAAGTTCGAAATAAAAGAACGTTCGGACTTTTACCACTGAGAGTTGGTAAATCTTAGGTTTTACCTGAAAATCTTAGGATTTACCACAGTTCGGGCTTTTCCAGTAACATATACACCAATATTGCTACCTCACCAAGCGGTGAATTTTTTAAATGAGGGATATAGAATATCTAAGAGAAAGTGCACGTGTACCTTTCGGGGAGCTGTATTTTTGAACACTAATAAAAGAGTTGCTCTCCGAGACATTCTCGAGAGAACAAGCACGGAAAGCTTGCTGCAGGTGATCAGGCTGGTCTCTATGTAGATCCCAAGAACATATTTACCCGAAAACGGATGCATTCACAAACTTGTTTGTTAAATGTTAATAGCTGAACTTGGGATTATTCCCCAAACGAAAAGAGCCACGTCCAAGAATAGAAGTCTTGAACGTTATTCGAAAAATAGAGGCAATGCAGCAAATTTGCGATCCTTTTTTGTAAAGGAAAAGTACAGTACTTCTTGTTTTATACGAGCGTATACTTTTAAATATACTTGCGATTTGATGCTCCTATCATACTCTAAAATAAAAAAATAATGTTGAAGGTATTTTTTTCACAGACAAAAGGTATATTTTAAAAAGTAAATATTTTTGTGAATTTACAGCTGGTTCCCTAATTTGAGATAATATTAAAAAAATAGATTTCCTTTGCAGAAAGTGCAAACGAAAATTAATTTATCCACAATCTGCATGTGCCCATCTTCGACAATAGCTGCATTTTGTCCATTTTTCACGCTTCTTATCTTCGGAAAATCCCGTACCCGTACAAAATAAACATTCAGCAGCGCTTCCACCGCTTTCGTCTGAAGATGGATCATCCAACTTAAGGGTTCTGCTGCATTCTGAACTTGAACTGGAGGGGGAAGGTATCCGAATCCTTTTGAGGCTTTTAAATAACCCATCTCTTTATTCTTCACAGATTTGACTGACTTTATCATGTCATTTGGGTTCCACTTTTTGTGTTTCGGTGGCATCTGCAATATTGAAATAATAAAAGATTATTAAATACACGGTGGGCCATAAGAGTGTTGGCGATTTAAATCTTAAATTGCTCGGAAACGCGGGGCGCGGATTGGGGGCTGGGATAAGCTGTTAGCCGCGCCGTTGCCTGGAAATTTAGTCGCCATAGAGCCGTATACGGGAGCGCAGCGTGCATTTTGTGTCCGAGCGTATTATGAAAACAATAAATCGGTTATTACTGCACGACATTTGTATCGACATGAACACGGTTTCCGCGATTTAAGAGAAGTTCCAAGCACCAATGTGATGGAAATGGATCACAATGTTAGAAACAACCGGCTCGACAGTAGCAATAACAGCTCGTGGTCGTCCAGTTTCTGTAAGATCAGCCGACAATGTATTGCGTGTTCATGTTTCAGTTCAGCGAAATCCACAACAGTCAACACGTAAGAGAAGTCAGGCTTTGGATATCAAAAGAACGAGCTTTCGGCGAATTTTGAAGCGTGATTTGCATTTGAAGGCTTATAAGATTCAACTAGTCCAAGAATTAAACCAGATGATGCCAATAATCGACTTAACTTTATCAATTTGATGCTCCACCGATGCAACAGTTTTAACAACGTGATGTTTAGTGATGAGGAAAATTTTCACCTCAATGGCCATGTTAACAAAACAAAATTTTCGGTTCTGGCCCGAAACTAATCCCCGAGGCTTGCATAAACGTCCACTTCACAGCCCTAAACTAGTCAACCGGTATTATTGGACCGTACCTTCTTGAGGACGAAAGAGGGCAAGCGATGACAGTTAAAGCTAACAATTATTGCAAAATGATAACAGACTTTTGGTGCCAGCTTTGCAAGAACTCTAAGGCAATTCCTCTAGAATGTGGTTTCAACAAGATGGAGCCACATGTCATACAGCTAGGGTAACTATAGAGCCGCTGAAAAATGTCTTTCCGGAAAACTCATTTCGAAAAGGAGGATATTGAATGGCCACCACGTAGCCCTGATCTTTCTCCATGCGATTATTTCCTATGGGGCTACCTCAAATCGGTGGTCTACGAGAATAATCCAACTAATTTAGAGCAGCTGAAGAGGAATATTGTTCAGAAAAGTAACAAAGTACCGAGAACAACTTTTCAACGAGTTTTCCAAAATCTGCATCTTCGGTTTCAACAGTGTCAAGCAGCCGAAGGAAGTCATTTGAACAACATTATTTTTTGGTCTTAAAAATTCCTATATTTCTACTTTTTAAAAATACATTTCCGTAGTTATGTTTTGATTGAATATTGAAACTGCTAACATCTTTATGTCCCACCCTGTATAAATCTCTTGATACCGAGTCCCAAATTAGGAACACTTGGATATCAAATTAGGAATTTTCCGTTAAAAAGTTTGCACAATCATATTTAGATTATGTACCTAATAAAGTCACAATACTGTAAAAGCAAATAAACAAGGTATTTGTAAACTACTAAATTTATATCAGACAATTGTTCTAAGTAACTTTCCTTAATTTTAGTAATCTCTTTTCTCGTACTATTAAAAATATTTCAAGTCTGAACAAGTAATAAGTTGTCATGTCTCAGCAAACCATGTGCATAACTAAACTGTAAACACATCTAGAATACCACTGCGTCTTAGTTCACAACTATTAGGTATTACTAAAAGATGACGCTCCAAAGATACAAAGATACCATCACTGTCTCATATTAGGCACTTGTCTCAAATTTGATTCCTTTCCTCTACTCTATCCTCACTTGTTTCATTCAGTTGCGTAGAAATTCACAACATGCTGTGTTATATTTTGGTAATAAGAAAAATAAGATTTCATGAAGTTATTTAATATACATTTTTATTCATTTTTGGATGTACTTTTGCTTTTAGAAATCTTGCCATTACCTTCTAAACCCCCATCTAATCAGTATCAATTGGAAATTACACCACTGATAAATACCATGTAAAAATTGAAGTGTATATCTAAAAGGACAGACACAAGGTAGAAAATTATCCCGCTGAAAATCAATCTCATGACATTGCATCACGTGCGAAAAGCTCCCTTTCAGCTTTATTTCTTTGTACATGGTCATATTGCTGAATGCCTTGAAAGCATGTATTGTTTGCACCCATGCATGTGAAATGTTGATTTAATCCCAACTAAAAATACCCAAATGAGAATTTTAAAACGAACCACTACACCATTCCGACCCTGATCCCTATCAATTGCCGACATGGCCATTAAAATATCAGAGTGAATCAGTGCCTGACTCAATTTGAATAATTGATTACCTATGAATATATGTATACCCTAGCACCTATAAATTTACACATTATATAGAGCCGATTTCAATTCACAGACCCGAAGCTTTACTTTGTCGGTTCTTATATTTGAGTTTGCTAAGTGGTTAGCATGGAGATCTGATATTTATTTAGTTAAGAACTTGACGTATTCTATAGATCATATGGAAAATAGAGAAATTCAACGTAAATGCTCATTTTGCACAATTCATGGAGAAAAACTGGCAGCATAAAACGTCAAAGGCAAAACAAGGAGACGAAGCGACTTAACATACTTTTATGACAAATATATGTGACATATTATAGGCCCATAGTCTTTCACCACTAAGCTTCATTCAGACGTTGTGTTAATTTTTTACTACTGTCAATAGTAAATGTGTCGAAAGTAGGTAACATCTCAGAACTAATTATATGAAGTAGTTATTAAGATTTCTTTTCTCAGTCGAAATGTTGACATAACAGCTATATCAATAGGTTCATTCTGAACGTACATCGAAATTTTTAAATTACCTTCATTCACACGAAAGAGTCGCTAGGAACTACAAAGCAGTACAAAGCACAAAATTCACCTGTGTTATCTGGCGATATGTAGCATTTTGAATGTTAGAATGAGCTATGCGTCACTATGCTTTGACGATTTAAACTGTTTGATAATTCGTGCAGTTTTACCTGATACTAGATTCAATAACCTTGAGGCTTACTATGTATATCTTTTATTTTCAAGTTACACAGTTATTTGGAAATTATGTAAATGGATTACAAATTCCCAAAAATCTATACAAACCATGTACATATGCTTTCAATCAAGGCATTAATGATTACAGCAGTCAGGCTTCTTCGTTTGACTGTCTTCCTTGACATCAGAATCACATCCTTCATCTTCATCGTCATCTTCATCGTATTCTTCTTCTTCGAAGTCTTCATCCTCTTCACATCCTTCACCTAATAAATTGAATAAAACTAAGCATAATAACAAACATTGCCCTTAAAATTTAAATCGTTGCGCAGATTCTCTGCGCGTGCCACTTTTTCACTGATTGGCTCTTTCATTTCTCCTGCTTATTTTTTGCCTTGGAACGAGAGCTCTTTCAATTCAAGTAGACCGACGTTATCTTTTACAACTTTTTTCATTCAAATTAGGTCCATTTTTTTTTACTTTTTATTAATAATGTGGCCACTACTTTTAAGAAATGTGAATGTCCATTGTATGCTGAGGGCTTGAAGTCGCATTATGCTGTAGACGTGTAGACTGCATTGAGTTCTACTGTTCATAATGACTTATAATATGTAATGACAATTGTTTGGAGATAAATATATATATATATATATATATATATATATATATATATATAAATGTGAGGTACGACATCCCTATATGTTTATTACTTCAATTAGTAATGTTCCCTTAAAGGAAGTTAATGATTTTAATAACTTCAGCTATGATCTTAGCTTTAATAAAAACATCGCTAGTATTTTATTGAACGCTCCTAGAATGTTAGGTTTGATCCGTCGTAATTGTTCGAATTTTTGTGATACTATAGCCATTAAGTCATTGTATGATTATTGTTTAGTAAGTAGCCTTTTAGAATATAATAATAGTCTGGAGTCCATATTACGGCTGTCAAATTTGTATTGTACAAACTTGGCATATGAAGACAGACTACACCAGCAGATTGCAGATGGTAGGACTTAAAAGTCTTGGAAGACAGTTCGTAGCTTTGAAGTAATTAAAGAAATAATTAGATACATAATAACTTAACAATGTCTTTCGCTATTTTGTACTCTTTTTATTAATACTAATTTTACTTTTAGACTTAATACTTTGTTTTTGTACTACCTAACTCATGCAAGAAAACTTGAAAATGCTAGTTTTGAAAATACTCTTCTGCAGAAATGCTCACTCAAGTTCCACAGCACATCCTATCACAACAGCATAAAAAGATTACCTGTGAAAAACAGGATTGCTCTAGGCACTATTCTTTCTCGGATATAGTGCCCAATCTCAAAATCGGTTGTAAGCAGATTGCGTATATCTTCGTCGACATCTTCGTCTTTTGAGTTCTCAGGAATAGAAGGAGGATTGAAAAAATTGAAGAAAGAGTCATTTTGCACTGTCTTCGTTACAGTACGTACCGTTCCACGGCTCTTGTGCTTTTGTCTCTTTTTGACCTACACCGAAGAAACAATATGAATCAACACAATGTTCAATCCACCATATATAGGAAAATCACCTGAAATACTTGTTTCTCAAAATTTCAATAGGTAGTTTTATTTCTGTTGATGACCGAGAGGCAGATTGCCGGAAATCCGTAACTAACTCGAGTGATGGCGGTTTTACGGAAAATACCAACACACGCGAATATACAAGTTTGCAAGGCTTATGGTGGAAAAGTCATTAAAAACAATCAGATATGATAAAATAATGTATAAACAATATATGCGATTTAGTAGTTATACCGTTTTAGTAGTGACATCTTTCCCAGGATTCCAATTGATATTCGACCCCGTGCATTTGTAGATCTCCGGTCCTTCAAAATTAAACGGGTCATCCTCTTCAGGAGCACACTTCATCATATAATCTTTTATCAATACTTCGTTTGTGAAGTACTCATTGGACGAAAAATGAAACTTCAGAGTGAAACCCATATTAGGCTCCTCCCTGCATATAGTCTTGATGTCAGTTAGGTGCTTTAGAATGGGCACATCGTACGGTTGCATCATGTCAGCTAATAAGACGACGTTCTTGAACACGTTTAGCCAAAACTCTGGTATGCCTTTGGCGTCTTCTGGAACTAAATAATATAGTTTTTGAAATGGCGCAGAAAGGAATAATTGGTATGTCATGAAATCATTAGTTATCAGAAGTGCATCTACAAGAACTTGTCACAGCTGATTCTGCTCTCCGTAATAATCAGAAATCTAGTTTGACGCTGAGGCAAATATGTATGCTACATCGTCATCTATAAGACATTAACCGTTTCAAAGTAGATTTCTAATTGTTTCTAAGTGGGCAACCATAACTCTGACAAATTCTCATAGCGAGCGAATATAGTTATAGGTAGGTTGGCTATCTTCACGTTAACTAATGATATTAATATCGTGGGGCCCATGCATTACGAATTAGTTTGTCGATATTATTGAAGCTAGTCAAAATGCGTTTTTCAAAACTCCATGAAAATTGAGACACAGCGTTATGATTGAGACTGAATTCTGCTGGACAAAATAGGACGAACAATGTTGAGCTATTAACGACTTATATAAGATGTTCCTTTTGTTTCTTCTTCCTTGGCACAGAAGTATAAATAGTAATTATGGTGGCTGAAAATTGTAACAATAAAATTGTCCAAATACCTGATGTCTCCTTCTGCTTGCCCCTCTCAGCTGCAATCTTCTCTTTGACATTTTCGGGCAAGTCATCTTCGAGGTCAGAAGGCCACTGCGCTTCTTCGTCAGTAGGTTCATGGCCACCATTCACGATAGCATTACGTTTTTCATACAACGGCACATACATCTGATGATACTTGCACTCAAGAGCGTGGACCTCTTTGAAGAACTCCGCCTCAATCTGAGTGGTTGCCAGCTGCAACTTTTTCAAAGCTTTAATTCGTCTTTTGACTGGAGGTGGCAGAAGAGCAACCCGAATTTGATTGCTAAATAGATCATTGTCTTCATCTGTTTTTCTAGTTTCTTCATCGTCGAGCGATTCTAGATCGTCGGGAGCATCTCCTGAACGTTCGACTTCCGTTGCCATTCCACCGTTTTAATAAATATCCGGTTTAGTAAGGATTGATTTCAAAGAGTGGCTCTAAGATTTAACAAAAACTGAAGTGAACGCGAAACTGTCAGCTGACAGCTTTGAAGTATCGTTTTACATGATATACTGAACGATTTTTTTATAAAGTGACCTATTTTTCAACAGAAAATAGTTATAGTTCACTTAACTATACATAAAGTGCAGCACAGGCTAGGAAGAGAATGTAACATCTTGAAGCTAATTGATTTAAACGTTTAACTATCGCTTGGAAATTATAAATTTTGCAAACGTTACTCATTTCCGATTCTCTACGTGAAAATTGGTTCAGAGACATACTATATAAAAAGAGAAAACTGGAAACGGAAGCATCCCAAGAAGGCCCATGTGAGGTTGAGTTGCATAAAGAGTTGCAGTATTCTGCAGAGGAGGTTCAAACTGCTCAAAGTTTACTACAATAAATTATTTAACCTAGACCAAGACATGAGTAACAGCGGAATTGATGGTGTTCTTCAGAATAAGCAACTTTTAGTTAATGATTCAGAAGTTCAAGTTAACACTGAGTGAGCTATTAATGACAGACAGTGCTTTAAGAAGTTTCACAGGAATTAACAATTTTGAAATATTTGAATGTGTAGTGGCAAAGGTGTAAGAATTCCTTCAGGATATAAGATCTCATAGGCTTAGCATGCATGACAGAATAATTCTCACAATGGCAAAATTAAAATTAGATCTCAGTTATGTCACTTTAGGTGTGTTTTTCAATGTTTCTAGTCAATTATGTTTGACATTCTTTTTGTTTTGAGTAAAATTTTAGAGCCTTGCATCTACTTCCCTCCTGCTGAGGAAATATCTATTTTATTTGAGGATGCCATTATGGCGGATTGCGTGTGTCTTCTGTAAAATTCTTTATCGGATTGAAATAAAACATTATTTAAACACTATTTGTTTTATTCGAATAAACTGGTAAGGTTTTACAAAACTATTTATTACGATACATCATATTCTTCTCCTTCCATATCAGATCGTGAATTTGTATTGCCTCCAATAAGTATATCCAATATACTCTACTAAACTTATGTTTATGAAGCCACTTGCACCTAAAAATCCTCTAAAATTAAACAAGTCTACGGGAGGTATCGTCAGTCGTTCCAACAATTGTAGGACGCTTTTATGGCCTCTTTGATTTTCACAGTATTTTCTCTCCTTCAGAAAGGCTGTGTTATTTCTAGACTTCTACTGTTCCGTGTCAGTGCTCTCCTATTTGGAGGCTCTGTTTTCCTTTTGAATTGTAGGAAATTTCAGGCTGATATAACAGTTGATATAAATCAAAAGCATTAACAATTTAATGTAGTTATTTGAAACATAACCTGAAAAAAAAGCGCTAGCACCGAACAATAGAAAACTATGAAGATCAAGGAGGCCATAAAGGCATCCTACAATTTTAAGAACGACTGACGATACGGCCTTTAACTATGTGTATAACAGATATTTTAATACCTATACCAAGTTTGCACCTATTAAAAATGACAACAAAATTGTTGGCCAAAATGAAATCAAAGTATTTACAACACAGTAAACAAATAAAGGTACTCAGAACCGGTATAATTAAGCATAAATCACTTCCAAACACCTTTTCAAATCGAAGCTAAAAAATAAGGTTAATGTATCAATGTACAAGATGTCCGCCGCACGGCGATGCGATCTTAATTTGAAATTCCCATAGATTGTGTTTGTCTGCTCCACTCGATTTCATCACGGTATTTTGCTCATAACCTTATCGTTAGTCGAATCTGGTAATCAGGTCAGACTGTTTAACCACCAAGATAGTAACGATATCAAGTATCACAGAAATTGAAAAATAACGATACCACCTCCACCTTGTAAGATATGGTTTCTAAAAAAAATTTTATCAACCGAAAATTCTCGCGATCGCACCTACTGGTTGTGTAAGACAAAAAAATCACAGGTCATTCTTTGTTGGAGCGTGAAACACATTTGGAACTGTGTTCACCTAAATGGTCAATCTGTCACATTCCAAGGCATCCGACCATTACACTGACAAAACGACCCTTAAAATGTAGCCACATTACCATTCAAAGGCTGGGCATTAGATATTAATGACCGCTACTCCGGTCAGGTCCGTGGGTGATGATATCAGTTTATAAACAGTTAAGTTTATTGGTTTATATTTGAAATTCATAGAAACATTTCTTTCTACCTCATCCTATGTTAACAAGAAAAAATATCATGATTTATGAGCAATGATGATAATCATCTGCGGTGAGGGACATTTAACATTACCGATAGTGTATATTAAAAGACAATAAAACTTTATTGCGTCGCATAAAATAGTACAATCCACACCTCTCATGTATTCATAAAACCATTAAAGTGAACAAAAATGAGACAGGTTATCTCGTATTACTTGAAGTAGCACTGACTATGTGGTTAAAATGGAATTGAGTGAGAATGTCAGTGGTGTTGATACTATAATAAAGAAGAAAACAATGCTTGTTGGAATGCTGCTGTAGTCTTTGTGATCATTCACAATAGATGAAAGCGAACGCGACATTGCAAAAAGTATTTTACTAGGCAAAAGGCTATAATTAAAGAGTAACGAAATTCGGAGCCATTTTGGTATTTTTGCGAGTGTTTACGGCATATCGTCATATAAAGTGCACATCTCGCGGATTCATAATATTTACTAGTAAAGCATACTAAAATAAGGCATGTGGGTTCGTGTTTCTTCGTCTAGGGTGAATATGCCAGTGGTCAGACGGTTTAGACAGTTTAGATTCCTAATATCTGAAACCTTAGTCTTCTCAGGCCAGTGATACAAGATACCCACTGGGGTTTTCTCATGTTCTCCATAGAAACAGTTTCATGTCAGCGACATCCACTTTGGGTCCTCCTAATAAATCCAAGCAGGTCCTTAGTGAATGCAAGTTTTTGCTCTTTGGCAAATTATTTCTTTGACTTAATTGGCCGTTCCACTATTCCAAGGACCTTTTCTTGGTTCAATCATCTTTTATGGGTTCCTTGATGCATGTTCTCCTCACGCCACAAAAGGGCTCTGGACCTATAAGACGTTTAGCCTCACGTTTTCGGGCTAGCTCATTCACCGTATCCTTTTCGGTACGAGTGTAACATATTAGGCCGCGCGGATTGAACGTCAGTACTGAATCTTAACCTCACTCTTTAGTAAACTTAAATTCAAAGTTTCACAACAACACTACTGTGAATTTTTAAGTGTCACCAAGTCATTAGAAAAATGGAACTCAACAGAGAACATTTTCGCGCCATAATTTATTACAACTTTCAGAGACACCTATCGCAACAAGAATACCTTGCTGTGTTACTGTCTGTTTTCGGCAACGAAGCGCCACATCAGTCGACAATTTCCCGTTGGTATGGAGAATTCAAACGTGGACGGGTGCCTCTTAGCGACGATCCCAGGGTGGGTGGACCAAAAACGGCAGTCACCCAGGAAAACTCATCATTGAAGATAGACATGTGACATATTGCGAGATTGAGGCGTCCTTGAAGATCTCAAAGACCTTAGTTCAAAAAATTTTACATGAAGAATTAGGACTAAGAAAATTAGTTTCTCGTTGGATACCTGACCTGTTGACTGAAGAGCAGAAAGCAGCCATGGTTAATTGGTATCAAAAAACGCTTGACCGTTCCAATTCCGGAAACTCAAAAAATGTGTACAGCATTTTTAATAGTGATGAATCGTGGATTTACTGTTATGAACCAGAAAATAAACGACAGTCGGCTGTTTGGCTGTTTCAAAGTGAAGAAAAGCCAACAAAAGTCATCCGTTCTCGAAGTGTTTCGAAAAAGATGGTCACGACATTTGTGTCAAAAGCAGGTCATATTGTAACAATTCCTCTTAATGAGCAAAGAACTGTTATTGCGGATTGGTATACCACCATTTGTTTGCCAAAAGTCATCACCGAGCTTCGAAAAATCAACCCCGAAAGAAGAATCATCCTCCACCAAGACAATGCAAGCTCGCACATAGCCCAACAAACAAGACAGTATTTAACGGAAGAAAAGTGGAATTATTGGACCATCCTCCATATAGGCCAGATCTAAGTCCTAACGATTTCTTTACTTTCTCGAAAATTAAAAACAGACTGCATGGTCAAATGTTCCAATCACCAGAAGAAGCAGTTGACTCATTAAAAAATGCCGTTTTGGATCTGCCAGTGAAACGAGTGGAATAAGTGCTTCGAAAATTGGCTCGAGCGCATGCAGATGTGTATTATGTGGAGAATACTTCGAAAAACAATAAAGTCATTTAAAACTACCTACCGTGTTGTTTTATTTGCTTATACAAAACCTAAAAGACATCCCTCGTATGCCCTAACATCACCATATTGGTCTGAAAACCCCGCCAAATACAAAAATGTTATTTCTCAAATTTACATTACTATCGAGCATCAAAAACTCGGTTCACTTTCAATATATCGCCAATTGTAGATTTGTTTGTTTGCAAAAATCGCCAAGTGCGTGTGACCAATACGAAAGTCGTATTTTGGTCTCATGACCGTGTGTTTCGATTCACAGGGTTTCGTGCCATTTCCTCGCATTCTCGTAATTGTGGTTAAATACACTTGATTTTGCCTGCAAAGCCCGCCATTTTTCACATTTATTTTCAAACCTCGCCAACTGCATTTTATTTATCTTATTTTACGGAGCTAATACTCTCTTTGTCGTAACACGATGAGTGATACTCGTTTGTATTAAGAAGTAGTATCTACATCAAGAAAATATTAAAGTTAATTCATTTCGTGAATAGTATTACGCAAAACAGTTTTCCGAGTTTTCCTTAGAACTGTATGGTTTGCACTTGGCAGTGTTTGTAGTTAGACGGCTCAAATATTCTACAGAAATCACTAAGGGTGCTAATCAAGTAACCTGCCAAACTTCAAGGGCTCTGTTTTTGAGAGGTTCAGATGAAAGTTGTATAAATTTTGAACTGATGAATACTTCATTTTCAAGGTTCAGTGTGTTAGTCTTTTTCGAAAAAGCCAGTCAATTTTGTTGAAAGTTATTAAGTTTTCGTATGCACAAACGTAGCGCTGGTTACTTGAGATGAGAAGAAAGGACCAGTACCCAAAAGAAAAAACGGCGTCAAGTAGGTTTAAAAAAGTCGGTTACAAACATGCACAACACAGAAATTAAGGAGGATTAAGTCAGTCAAACAGTACCATAAAATCATTCCAGAGACATTGTTTCCCTGCCCTACCGGTAGTTAGTGTTCACCTGGCAACGATGTCCCTTTCCATCTTTGCCCGACATCGCTGCAGCGAGTTATCGTTCATCTCGTACATCGTCCGTGTATATGTTTGCGCTCCAGTACGCATATATTAGGACTGTTCCGCCTGGCGGTGAGCTTAGATAGCCGGAGAACGCGGATCGAAAACGTTTCTCTATCATTGTTTTAAAAGCAAATGTACGGTGAAATCTATGATGTGTGAAATATGGCTAATAGGTGCATAAAATTACCGGAGCCGGGAGTGCATAAATCATCAAAAATTCAAACGTCAAAGGACGAAGTTTAGGCAATTTTAGATTTTTTCGACTTTATTCTCTGCCGCTTTTTCGACTTTCGCTTAATAGCAACCCTGTGTGAAAATTTCATCCAAATCCGAGCGGTACTTCTCAAGTTATAGACGGGCCAAGGGTTAATGGACAGACAGATAAGCGGACCGACAGACAGATCGTCAGATATACCTACAGAAAGACCGACAGACCGACCGACCTACAGACAGATCGACAGGCAAGCCGACACAGACCGACAGACAGACAGACCGACAGACCGACAGACAGACAGACAGACCTACAGACAGGCCGACAGCCAGATTGACAGACAGATCGACTGGTAGACAGACAGACCGACGTAAAAGAGGAACATGTTTTTTTTATGATGTACATGTCACATAACATCAAAAAAACACAAAACTTCATTTTCGAAATATTACGCGACTACAATACCTTTTCGCCCAGTGGTGTAGGAAGTAAAATTATAAATCCAGTAATCTAGATAACCATAACCACGTGTGGGTTTGATAGAGCGTTTTTCTTTATTTAGTTTAATTAAATTTCCTGCGGTACCTCTGTACATGCAACAATTTTTAACATACTTAGCTGAAGGTAATGGCGATTATTACTTTAGAACGAATACGTTCTTCCGAATAAAAAATTGCAGTCTTCAGACAATACAGTTAAAATTTGTTGAATAAAGCATGTACGGACGTAATCTCGATTTGACTGGAGTCGTTAAAGAAACACGCCTAGATTTTAACCACAGATTGCCATTGTCATCTAAAAAACCACCGGATTTCATTCAAGAAACTTGACTTTCTGTAGGTATCTCAGAAACGTGGTATTATTGGACCCATATTTTTTCAAACTTCTCTTCATAAAGTCACTTTTGGAAGTTTAGGTATTTCATTGACACTTTGTATACCACGCTTGCAACAAAATAACTATTTCCTTAGTCATCCATTTCACTTTCCAGATTAGTTTTCTTGTCGATGTACACATTTTTGCTTTTCTTTTCTAGCGCTGCAACGAAAAACTGAACACGTTAGCAATATCAGTTATGAACCAGTGGCCAGGCGTGCGATTGGTGGTTACGGAAGGCTGGGATGAAGAAGGATACCATCCTCCAGATTCATTACACTACGAAGGCCGGGCAGTCGACGTAACTACATCGGATAGGGATAGAGCGAAGTATGGGATGCTTGCTAGGTAAATATATTATAGGATTAGAGCATAAAACCGAAAAGTCCGGCGGGTGTTCACGAATATTGAATTGAATGGTCAATCATGTCGAACGATATAGATAAAATGTCACACGAAAGTCATAAAAAGCCTTCTTGAATCTCGCAATCGACATTTTTCATTCGAAAAAATGTAGCGCGGCTAAGACCATGCGACAATGGATGGCGAGAGATTTTTTCATTGTTCGACAAAACTTCAGATGACAAAGTAGGACGATGCTTACTCTTTTTCTCGTTATTGACCAGAATTTCCTCACAGCCGTCTTAAAATCATATGGCTTAAGGAAAGCACAGTGGCAAACGATGGCACGAATCAAAAAATAAAATCCTAGTGTCACAAGAGAGAACATATCCCTCCCCCAGGACACCAACTAGTTAAAGTACTTCAGACGTGAAAACATGAAGACCTTGGAATCCAGATCCACTGGACGGATTTTGAGATGTTTAATAGAATGCGATTAAAATACTGTATATTAAAGGGGGTCCATGTTACTTTCACTTCTCTGTGTATACGATTGGTCAGATTTATAATAGACCAGCTTATGCACCCGATTAAACTGAACAAAATGATTTTAAGCGTATGTACTTTACGGCGTCGTTAATGCGATACATGGTGTCAAAGTCATATATTTTAGTTTGTATATATTTAACTTATCTTGCATTAATTAAGTGACTTAGTTGAGTTTTACCTCGGATTGATTTGTATAGCTACAAATTCGAAGTACTCGGTTAAAATTAGATGGGGCTGCCTCTCGGGTAATTCAGTTGGATATAACCAAAACAAGTTAAGTTCCTTAATTCCTACCGATGATTCACAGAGTTCCATCTAAATCACACAATGAATTTAAAATGAATTAAAAAGATCAATATTATAAGAAATGGATTAGAACAGTAAGAAAGATACATAAGTTGACATGGATTTCTTTGTTCGTAATAAGATCTATTATTAACCTAAATAACCGCATATATACATACATTTTTAAAAATTAAAAACAAATTATAATCAAAAACGCACTAAACTAATAAGTAAACTTGTTAATATACAGCGTTTTAAATGCAATTCACTAAAAATCTCAAAAAATCTATTCAGTGGACCAGAACTCCAAAGTTTAAACCCCGCTAAATGTTTTTTTAGTGACGCTGGGCAACCAAGATTTCAATACAGTTCTCCCACAACCCATAAGTATGTTTTATTGCACATAGTCTGGCACACAAAGTTAATACTTCTCAAGGACCCATCGACAGTGAAAAACGAAAAAGTAATAAAAACGTTTGCTACTATGGTTGCGCTCAAAGTGACATTGGAACGCTTCCATGGTACATGATTACCGGATGTCATCATGATGTAATATTAATTTTCTGATAATATAGAAAGTTTAGGAAAAGGAAAATTCAAAACGTTAAAATATACAATGTTTTTCAGAAAGGCCCCTTCTACTTATCTTTTTATCTAGTCAAGTAACCAAGCTGAAATTCTGAATGATGAAGTTAATAATAATAATAATAATAATAATAATAATAATAATAATAAACGTACCTATTAATAACTAAAAATAAGTTATAAATGGGCGAAGTTTAGCCACGTTTATTTTTCCACTTAACCCTCAAATAGTGATAGTTACTTCGAATTTAGATTAGTAAAAAGCTACTAAAATAATAATAAAATCATTGAGAAAAAAGAAATAGTCATACGATTATATGTGCAGAAGGATATGTTTTAAATTACATCAAAATTTATTTAGCGACATGCCTTTAAATTGATTTGACAAAGAATTAAGGATACTTTATTAATTGTGAAAGACCTAGTATATAACCCTATTTTATGTTGGGGCGTGATGAACAAATACGGAGACCGTATGATACTAGTAGATTGAATTATATCTTTCCGACTTATGAGCTTTTTGTATAAATATAAAGGTATTTCACTTAATTTTATTATACAAACAAATTATTAACGTTTAACCACCGCATATTAGTAATGTGTCCTGAGGTATGAGCATATGTGGTTTAATTATTCACAAGGCGACAACAATAATTTGGGATTTATGTAAGCGTTTGGCAGTGGTTTGATCTGACAAGGATAGTATAATGATAAACAATCAGGAATTTTCTAAATTCCTAAGCTTTCACATAGAATTTTTTGATAAACTTTTTCATTAAAATCTTTGTTCGCAGAAACGCATTAATTCTGAAAAACAATTTCTAGCTATGTAAATGATGTTCTCGAAATCTCAACGTTCATCAAAAAATACACAAAGATTCTTCACACATTCGGTGAATTTTAACTGGGTATTGTTAATATATAATCGCATGTTTGATTTCAGAAAATCATTGGTATTTTTGTGGGCCTAATAAAATCGCTTTTTGTCTGCATGTAGTTTAAGAGTATTGCTATGTGTATAATTATATATTGCATCTAAATCAGTATTTATTTTCAAAGTAGCAGATTCATAATTATGTGGGTCAAGCGATAAGTATGTTTGGGAAACGTCAGCGTATGCCATTATTTAACATGCTCCATTAAGTTTTTCGTGTAGAGAGTGAAGAAGTGTGGCCCCAAAAATAGATCCCTGTGATACACTAGAAATTATTGATTTAGATGATTTTATTTCTTCTGCAATGAAAACTTTTTGTTTTTTACCGGTTGAGTAGCATCGAAGATGATGCACATTCTGGAGTAAATACCACTAACTTGAAACATTTTTTAAAACGCAATGAGAAGTTAGGCTTCGTATGTTTATATTACAACCCCAGAAATAAATTCACTATCTGTAAAAATGTCGAACTGGCAGACTCTCAAAGCTAAGCATTTTTGTACATTTAATCCCTTATAACCCAACAGAAAACGATCAAAACGCTATAGTATATCAACATACTACTTTTGGAAGACTCCATCTCAGCGCGAGTTAAAATATGGGGCACTCCGTTTAATCAAATTCATTTTTTAACAACGTTGTTGAATGTAAAGCTACAAATCTTATTACATGTTTGGATAGATCCTTAGAAAACAAGAATATTGATATAACATACAGTGAGAGTCAGATGATTACTTGTTGGGATATAAGCTTAGATTTTACAGTATGTCAGTTTTCCATTTTTAAAGATGGATTTATATTCTAGGGATATGAAGTAAGCATAAGGAACTTTAAAACGAAATGTGCCTTTAAAAAAACGTCCACCACCATCCTAAAATTTCCTACTGCCATTTCACGCCAAAATGTTTTATCCGTGCGCCAATTTCCTCATCAGCTTCTTAGTTTAAATTTGAACATAATAAAAGGGACATACATGGTGTTCCATTTAAAAAATGTCTGCATTGTCGCCTGGTTATGAATCACCCCATAGACAGCAGCATATTTTCCAAGTAAGGAACGTATATGGTTACCTGCAATTCTGGTAATGGTTTTTTAAATACAATTATGAAGTACGAGCCCCTTCCCACTTCAGTTGGCCCACTTCAAGATTTGTACCAAAATATGCCTTTATAAACTAAACATCACGAAACTATTTACTTCTAAAACAATATATTTTCTCAAAAACATTTTAGATACACTCTAGTCGTAAAAAATACATATTTGAAATCACTTAGACCTATAACTAATAGAACATCTGAACAAATAAACAATGTGTGAATAAATGCGCAAAGTTAACAAAGCAACAATTGAAATATTACCATTGGTAACGTCACCTTTATTTTTTATTACGGCTGAAATTCTTTGGGGCATAGTGTTAACCAAGTTTTGGCAAAAATTTGGTGCAAAATGTAAAACAATCGTATATTTCTTGAAGCTTTTGTCTCAGTTCGGTGATTGTACGAGCAGGATGTTGTCGTAGAACCTTTTTCTTCTCGTGCCACAAAGTTTCAATAGGTGACAGATCTGGACTGCTAGAAACCCATTTCAAAAGTGGTACATTATTTTCTTCCATCCATTTTATAGCCTGCACCATCTTGCTGGAACACAAAATCTTGGCCGGATGTCAAACATTCTTCCATCACTGGTAAAAGCGATTCTTCTAAAATTGCCAAATATTTGATTGTATCCACATTTCCATCAATAAAATGAAGTTTTCCTACTCCTTTTGATGACATTCTGCCCCAGACCATAATGGATGCTGGAAATTTCACTTTTCTCTTCAGACAGTCAACATGGAATGCTTAATTTTTTTTTGCGAATAACTTTACTGCGATTGTCACCAACACAAACTTCGAATCGGACCTCATTACTCCATTGTATTGCACACCATTGTTGGGGCCCATCTAAGCCAGTTTTTCTTTTGCAGTGGAGTTAATAGTGGCTTTTCTTTGGCCTATAAACAAGTTGTGCAACTTTAGTGTTTTTACTTCACTTTTTTTAATAAGAAAACTTACCTTGCAAAGTGCTAAATCCCAGTTTGTGGGCCTCTCAATGAGTTGTAGACCTCGAAATTCTCCTTCCAACAGCGTCACTCCACAGAGCACTTAATTGTAAATAATTGGCACGCCTGTTTTTCACGATGATTCTTCTTAATGCTCTTCGGTCGGCATTTGTGATATTACTTTTTTTCACATATCGTGGCTTAATATTAACTGAACCAGTTACGTTATATCTTCTAACAATATTTCTCCCACTGTACCGCGATAAGTCTAACAAAGTTGCAATTTCTGAATCTGATGTCCCAGAATTAAAAAATTTAATTATCAGTAACCGAATTTTCTCACTAAAAACAATTGTCATGGCTTTTATTTTTCACAGCCACCTATGCGTTATAGACTTATTTTGCATTGAAATGAAAATAGGTTGATATGCTGTAATTGCAACATATGTTATTTTTATGCTGCAAATTTGCTTAGGGAGTGATAAAGTTGGTGTTTTCTACTATATATTATCAAAATATTCATTGTTAATATTTTAAACCTATAACACCCTGCTACATTTTTATTGTTCGTTAAGAAAAAAACTAAGATTTCAATAGTTGGGCCAACTGAAGTTGGAAGGGGCTCGTATTTGACGAAAGTAGTTAGGAGAAACTTTCAAGGTGATAGGGCCTTGATTTTGATACCCAGTGTATCGATATCATTCATCAAAAATCAGTTTTACGGGTACCAAATATAACTTTCGGCGAGCGAATACAACTGTTTGCTTGAATTCTTGTCCATCGTCTTTATCAGCATCGAATGGTAATTCCGCTTGTAAGGACAACATTGTTGATGGTTACTAATTAGCCTTACATCTGCAGGTTAGCTGTAGAAGCTGGATTCGACTGGGTACATTACGAGAGCAGGGGACATATACATTGCTCCGTTAAGTTAGGTAAGTCGATGTTAATGTATTTATTTAATGTATTAATTTTTTGATCATTGTACAAACAAATAGTACCAAAAATAGATTAGATCGTATTAAGTTTAGTATTTTGTATTTTTTTTCACCTCTAGAAGTTGTTGCTAGGTATATGTTACCACTAATAATTGTTTACGTTTACTGTTGCAATTCGAAGCGTTTCTGCTAAATTTAGTACAGTAAATTTCGTATAAACGTAGCATTTAGTACATAATTTTGCATGAACATTTGTAGTTCAAACATTTTCAGAACCTGTTGTAAATAACTTGGCACTAAAGGTGCGCTGCGGCATACCGTGCATTTCGACTGTATAGTGTTTGAATTTTGGATAAGCAATGTGCAGCAGTAGTACAAAAACCTCAAAAACCACGGCTTACGGCAAAACTGAAAAGAAAATATCTCGCCAAAACCGCAATGAAAGGTGCAGTTGGGATGGATGACAGTAACAAATGACAGAAATATACCTAGCCTTTTCTACCCAAATGCGCATGATTATATACGAAATTTATTAAAAAGGTGGCGTCTTGTACTTCCTACGCAACGCTGTATTCAGTTCAAAAGCTGGCATCTCTGAGAAGAAAAATGGTTCAAATATTGTAAAAATGTATAGTAAAAAATTATCAAGTTGACCAACCAAGCTCACAGAATTAAAATTTGCATATTTAAAATGCTTTTCTGTTCAATTTTTGGCTCTTCAAGATCTAGGCCCCTGAGAATATGCTACAATTCGCTGTTCAATGAGTTTTGAAGGCAGGTACGCTTTCACACAAAGTTATAGTTTACCGATGGATGGCCTTTCGTAGAAATTCCTGTGGGCGCACAATGTATACATCTGGCGTGGATGATGATCAACGAAAGTATCAGGCCGACTGCTAAACACATGCATCGACAGAACCGCGAAGCATGAATGATCGACACGCGAGGGTCAAAAATATTTCTCCATCATTTAACGTTTGCAGGATAAATGTCCGGTGAATTCCATGGTGAGTGAAATATGTCTGATAGGTGCGTAAAGGTACCGCGACTGTAGGCGTATAAGTATATCAACGACAAAAAATTAAGATATACCCTCCCCACCGCTAGTGGAGTACTAGTTCTTCCGTCTCCTAACACAAGTGAGCATGAAGTGAACGTCAGCTAGTTCAAAGGTGGAAAATCTACATAATGTCATTAAAATCGATATGTCACTTTTCATGTTACATAAGACGGATGCAGAATCCTCTGAAATGTCAAAAAACGAAGTTTAGGCAATTTTTTTTTTTTAGATTTTTGTCCCTAACACTGCCGCCACATGGTCGATTTTCAAAAGTTACAATGCTTTTTTGTCCTTGTCACGATAGTAATCTTGCTTGAAAATTTCATCAAGATCCGAGCTGTACTTTACAAATTTATTTCCTAGATAGGCAGATTTCTCTCTTGAAAATTGAGAGCTAAATTCAGTAACATATTTTTTACTTCCCTCATACTGCCGAGGAAGTATTGTAATCACCGTATTATACCGAACATAATACTTTACGAACTGATGACAGCGCCAGTTTTTTTTTTTTTCAAACAAATCTGTTACAGAATTATGTATAAAATTTCGTACCGTAACAGGCGGCTTTTACACCGAAGAAACTTGTCATATTATTCTCAATGACGAAGACTGCATGCTTAACCCACCCAATCTTCATCCGTTCACATTATGATAGACAATTCGCGGTAAATGAAATTTTGATCTACCGAAGCAGTCGCGCAGACAGAAGCCTAAATGCCGGGACACCGCAACTGCTAAGATGATCCCAAAGAAATTTTATGAATCCGATTTTTGAACCACCCAAGGTTAGTAGAACTGGGAAAACCTTCCTCTTGTAGATTATTCCACAATCTCGACACCCTCGGGACAAAGGAGCGGCCGTATCGGCCAGTTCAGGATGTACGACGTTCGACACGATTAGGATGGGAGGCCAAAGTCAGGCGGGTCTGCCTGGCAGGCACATCGCGTGGCGGCGCGGCGGCATCATGAAAGAGAGCTCTAAGGACAAATACCTTTGGTGTAGCCGTAGGAGAGACCTAGATCGCCGACGGCCCGCCAGTGCGGAAGGGTCCCGAGACTGTCTGCTAGAGAAGAGCCATCGATCAGTCGGACAGCCCTCCTCTGGACAGTATGGAGCGTAAATAATGTAGTCGTGGCGGCAGCACCCCAAAGGTGTGAGCAATACTCCTAGCCTTATCTAGGCCTTGTGTAGAGTCATGCGGAGAAAAGTACTTCTTAGCCCGAAACAAATATCCTAGCTTTTTCCCAGCAGCTGCCGCTATTGACGAGATGTGTTCAAGTCCTCTGTGATTTGGACTCCGACCAGCCGAAATGAACGGCTCTTTGGCAGAACTCGGCCATCCATTTAAACTGGATGAGCGCTAGGACGCCTTTTGTTCGTCAAGGTATAGTACTGTGTTTTGGAAGCATTGACCTGTACAAAATTGTTGCGTTCCCAAACAGTGATCACCTCCAGGTCTCTCGTCAGAGATGAAGTCGGCTTATCACTCTGAATGCCTGCATGTAGAGTGTTGCCATCAACAAAGCAATAGACTGGGTTGATCGTGCAGGCAAGGAGGTCGTTGATATGTAAGAGGAACAGTGTAGGAGCCAAGACTGATCCCTGCGGAACACCGGCGTTGACGTTGTGAGATGAATAGGAGAACCCGTCAATTCCGACAGTTATGTTGCGGCCAGAGATAAAGTCAGCCACCCATCTGCAAAGCTTTTCTGGGAGGCCATAGGATGGAAGTTTGCTTAAGAGGGCAGCGTGCCACAGCTGATTGAACGCTTTCGTGATGTCAAGAGCAACGACATGAGCCTCACCTCAAGACTGGATGGGCTCACTCCAAAATTGCGTGACTTAAGCGAGGAGGTCCCCTGTGGATCGCTGGTGCCGGAAACCATACTACCTGTCGCTAATCAAGCCGTGACGTTCGAGGTAGACCAAAAGCTCGCGATTTATGCACCTCTCCATGACCTTACTTATAACAGAAAGCAGAGCTATAGGCCTGTAGTTGTAAGGGTCGGTCTTAGATCCTTTTTTTGGGATGGGTTGGACATGAGCAAATTTTCAGTTTTTTGGGAAGGTGCTGGATTCATAAGATATCTGGAAGAGACGCGAGAGAACTGGAGCAAGCTCCGCTGCACACCTCTTCAGTACACTGGCAGGAATCAAGTCCGGACCAGAAGCTTTGTTGATGTCGAGCGACAAGAGCACTCTTATTACGGCCTTATGCCTGAATGTTACTTCCCGCATAGTGTGGGGAATCCTTTGAATCCACGGCACTTGTGCGTAGGGGCAGGGACGTTCATGGTGGAGTTGGCAACAAACATTTTGGCAAGCACTTCCGCCTTGGCCTTTGGGTCGGTTACAATCGTTACATCCTAAAACGTAACTGGTGAAAAGTTCTTTTCAATCAGCTTAGCCAGTGTCCAGAAAAACCGACTGCCGTTGCTCGGCGACATTACCCCATGCCTAACTTTCATATCGTGCTGGTTTTTAGAATTGCAAACCGCTTCGTAATATTTGTTTCTGGATTCGACGTCGGCTTGTCTGTTCTCTACAGTGGGGCTTTGTAAGAAGGTTCTGTGTGTTTTGATCTTCTACTGGCGAGCAGTGTCACACGATTTATTGAACCAACCGTTGGACCCTGGTTTAGGCACTAACATTGTATGAAAGATGTATTCCTCCATTCCGACGTGGATAATTTGGTTTATCGAAGAACAAACAACCGGCGCATCCACTTCAGCGAAACAAACATCTCTCCAAGGAAAGGTAGAGACGAAGTCTCTGAGCCCCTCCCAGTCGGCATGTCCGTAATGTCAGATTTTGCGGCCTGGGCGAGTTCTGCTCGAAACCTACCCTCCACAATACCGTGGTCTGAGTTACCCATGGGGTCCCTTACACCACAGCAGTGTTGTAAGGGACAGGATGCGTGATCAGAAAGAGATCTAGCAGGCTACTGACATGTGACGAGATGCGGGGGAAGAAGTACGGCTCGTCAGCAGCTGGGTCAGCTCTTGAGGAAGAGCGAATGCTTCATCTGCCCGACCTGCTGCATCGGTATTGTTTGAGCCCAGCCTAAGCTCATTATAAGCATTGAAATCACTGAGGAGAACTACCTCTGAAGCGGGGTGATTGATGTTCAGAAAGTCGACAGCGAGGTATTCAAGTAGGTCATCCTAGTTTTGGTCCGATGCGACAAAGGGAGCAAATAAATTTGGGGATTATTTTGGAGTTGAGATGAAGCCACAGAATGACCTTCCGGTCTAATTCCGAGAGACGTCTGCGGAGCAGGAAAGACTGCTGCGGCTATTAATAATCGCAAGTAGGTACTTACTAAATTCAGCAAATAACACGTATACTTGTTGTTATTCCTGCATTGTTCAACATTTTTACAAGATTTGTGTTAGTAAACATGCTCGCCGCATTTTTTGTAGTACCTATAGCTGATTATGATGAATAGAATCATAAATTGTATTGTACCTTATCATGATTGTACCGCGGAACAAATATTCCGGTCATTTATAAATTACGCACAATCATTATTTAACTATTTATGGTAAATTTCCATCGAATGTTGTTAAAACTGTAAGAGTCTAGATCAGATATAATTAAAAGTTGATCGACGTATAGTTTGATATAGGATAGCTGTTTAGCGGAAGGAGTTTTGTTTGCTTATATAACAGATGTTAAGTCATTTCCTCATTATTTTGATGGGGAAAATATGTTGTTCAGCATTGCAGCGGTCATACATGGGATAAACGTGCAGGAGGTTAATAGTACCTCAATAAAAATTGGCTTTAGTAGACCTAGAGATTATCACCGTGACTTTGAACAGTTTTTATATAGTAAGGAGCTGATTTTTGCTAACAAAAACTATTATTTTACTTATTTTCATTCGCCTGTATATTTAAAGCAAGCGGTCTTCCAGAAACCGTGAAAAAACAAAGG